TCGTCTGCTGTGCAAGCAATGGTCTTGCAACTCCACGCCTCCAGCGGGTACAAAGCGTTGGAAATGAAATTGTGAGGTCGACAACTGCGCATTGGCTGCCTGCGGCACTGGGCAAAACACAAAGGTTCCAGTGATGTGTCGCAGAATAAGCTGCCATCTCCAATCTCTGGACCACTCCAAGGCAGGTGCCGGCGAACTGCTTACAAGTTAATTCCATGCCACCCACTGCAGTTTTCCCGGTGAGGGCGCCTCATGCTGGCCGGGCACGAGGAGGAGAATGGGATTACCTGCATGTTGAGGCCAATGATAGACGATGCTGCTTCCTGTCGACTAGAGCGTCCAGGCCAAGATGCAACTGCAGGCAACCGAGTTGAAGCAAGGGTCCAGGTTCTCCTCACAGTGCACAGGTGACACCTCCTATCCTTGTGAAAGCTGCATGTCCTGGTATGCCGCATCCACTTTCCATTCCTCCACTGTGGCTGGAAAATTGCCCGGCCTGAAACTCAAACAAACACACCCGACCAGGCCAAGCAAGGGCGGCTTGCCGAGGTGCAGCTCCAAGTTCACCATGAGCTTCACCGACAGGCCTGCAGTCTGAAAGGAGGCACTAGGAAGCCTCGGTATACGCCGCATTCCCCTCGCTGCCCGAGCTTCGGACGGCTCCGAAGATGACGAAGCCTGCAAGCGACGGTTCACAAGTCTATCGGAGTCTCGTTTCGCCAACTTTGCCAACTTCAAGTTCACCAACTTCAGCAGCCTTGTTGGAAAGGCTCTGAGCTCCAGGCACAGCTAGCCTCGTAGGAGGCATCGAAACTTCCTCATGAAAATTGCGGAAAGAGAGCAGACACCACTTCAAGTGCAGCTGAAGCCAGACGTCTGGAAAGTGCTTCCAGACATTTTTTGGCCTTCTGCGTCGAGTCGCTTCTGCAACAAATCGTGCTGGACTTTGAGCTGGTGGTAGCGGAGACCGAGTTCATGAAAGCACGACGCCATCAATGTTTCTTGCGCTTGCAGCGCATGGCTTTCAGCCTGTCCGCGCCAGTGCAGAACCTGTAGTTCCCTCTCACGCAAGTCCAGTCGTGCCTTCAAGTCACGAGCAAGTCTCTCTTGTTCGGAATCCCTCACGGATCCCAGCTGGCTGGCCAGGACCCCACTAGGTCCACTTCCGCTCGTTTCAACCGCGCGTGTTGGTTGAGAGCTCTCCTGGTCATTGCTTTGAGCCTGTGTCGCCTGTGCCTGCTCCAGCTGACTTTGCAGCATCTGGATTTGAAGCCGCGCCTCGTCCCTCTCACGAGAGACTGAGGCCAAGTCATCTCGGAGATTTGCCAGCCGGCCATGCAAATGCTCCAGAGTGCCAGAGCCTGCCTGTCTGGAGGTCGTGATCTCATCCAGTTGCTTCCGCAGCTCGTCTTTCTCTCGTTTCCAGCCCTGACACTCTTCCATCCGTTTCTTGTACATCTCCAGCTGCGAGTGCAGCTTCTGGCTGTTCTGAGCTTGCACCCGTGAGATCTCAACTTCTTCACGCAAGCGCTCAACTTCTTGTTCCCTCTGCCGTAGCTCCGCTGTAGCCTTCCACAATTCCTGCTCGAGTTTCATCTCCATCGATGCGCGCTGCTCCTCCCGTGCGCGTTCCGATGCCTCGTCAGCAAGGCGGAGCTCCGCTTGGGCGAGACGTTCCTTCTCTTGCGCTTCTACACGTTTTGCACGCTCCGTTTCAAGTTCAGCATTTAGCCTGCTCTTCTCCTCCTCCCAGCGCTCTTGCTCCTCTTTCAAGGCGATGTAGTGCTCCTTCAACCTGCGAAACCGCGTCTCCGAATCTAGACCAACTTCCAAAAAGTCTGGCAACTCGGCCGACGAAGTGCGAGGTAGCATACTGGAACCTCCCGGCGAGCCAGTAAAGGCACCGGATTTGCGAGGAAAGCAAGGAATTCCAGGGACGATGGAGGACAATGGAGAAGAGTCCAAGTCGAGGCTAAAGCGCTCGGCTATAAGAACGATAGCCGAAGCTGATGTGGCACTCAGCTCCTGGCATGTCTGAACATAGTACGCATGATTCGGAAGCTCATTGTCTAAAGTTGCCCATATCACAAGCTGCGTTAGCAGAGATGTCACCATGCCGCCTTCCTCCAGCCAGTGCCGGGCCACCGCCTCAGCGCATCCCTGCCGACCCTTGAAATGTTCGACGAGTCCACACAGGAGCGCTTTCAGCTCAGATCCCGAGTTCTCAGAAAATGCCTCCGGATTCACATCGCGCATGACTCGCAGCAAGATCTTGCCGTCGGCCAGCTCATCCAGGCTTTGAACAAACTCGCCGACGACTGCCAGCGAGTTGATCCACTCCAGCAATGCCGCGGCGTCCACCTCCCCCATGGAAAAAGCACGCCATACAACTGTACAGTCGTGTTACGAGCTATCTTGTGTGTAGTCAGTGTAGTCTGAATGCCTGATCTAGCGCCTTTCGCGGCTGTATCCCGTGACCCATGGCCAAGACTTATGTAAATAATCGGCTTACACAGGCTCCGCTCTCACAGGATACGCAAATTGCTTGAAAGCTTTTGCCAATGTTGACTCCGTTAACACTGTGCGGAGCGAGGATGAGAACAAGTAGTTTCCGTTGCTTCAAATCTGAGCCATAGTGGCTCGAATCCGGAAGTTACGCATTGACCCAAACTGCGCAAGCTAAATGCTTAGCATGGCATTGACCGTGGTGTCCCTGCCCCAGCACATTTAGTCCTTTATGTCGATGAGCCGACCCTGTCCATCATCGTCGCTCCTTCCATGGCTTGGGGCACACACAACCACAAGTTTGCGTCTCGCCTGACCATATCTCAGGCAGTCAACTCCTGAACGACTCGTCCGCAAGCTTCACCAACTGACAGGTTGAGCTGCATTTCCCGACTACAGAGCCAAAACGACTATGTTACAAAGACTTGACAAAGCATCTCCAGAACCCACCGTCACGTCAATTCCGGCAGTCTGTAGGCCGCGCAATCGCTCTGAAGCCGCAGAGCAACACCTCAGAAAAGGAACAAAAGTTCAGAACCGATCAGAGTAGTCAAGCTGGGATATGTGTGTGAATTCTGAGGACTTCTGCACGAGCTTCCTCGGCCAGAAGCTCCAAACCTTGCGGAGCTTCCACATTCCACACCGCGCGACATCGCTGCGCCCACACCTCCACCGCTGCGCGGCCCGCGCAGCTGCCGAGCTCCTCGCCTCACTTTGGCGAATCTCTCTGTCTGCCGTCCTTCCTCGCGCCGCACCCCTGCCAGCACCTCCCGATGCCAGGGACTCCAGTGCAAGACAGAGCGCCTCCTGCCAGCGGGCGAGACGGGCACGCGAAAATATGCAAACTTACGAAGCGGATGCGCCTCTTGGCTGGAGAGCTCTCCGGATGTAACGTCACAGTCATTGACCCAAGATGCCTGCTCATACTTCATGCTAAGTCATCACTTGCTATCGGCGCGATGCCCTCTCACGGAGGCAGCATCAAGGGCGCCTGCAGGTTGTCCAGAAGGGTGAGCACCTTGGAAACTCAAGATCGAAGAGATTGTCAGGCCCCAAATCGCTTCAATATAAACGCGCAGCATGCCCCCAAGCGAACATATTTATGTGTTGTTGCAGACTTGCTGGCTTGATGCTGAACCTTTGCTTGCAAGTGCTGCAGCCTTTCTCCCGTCCAACATGGGTTGGCAAGGTAGTGGCATCAGTGCTCAGTAGCACCAACCTTGTGACGCCTTGCGACTGGCAGGAGTTTCGCGAGAGTCTACCCTGAGTTTATCGCTGGTCTGTTTGTTGACTAGGCAGCTCGGGTAGACTGAGACATGAGAAACGGGAGCAACATCGCTTCAAAAACTACCGGAGAAGCTGTGCCAACTGTCTGGACGCACATCTCACACCGATGAGAGGAGTGCGCGAAGCGTTAAGTGGACTGTTGAGTGGTCCAGGATGCCGATCGCAATATGTTTTCGCCAGCACGCATGAATCTATGCCGGTATGCGGGCGGTACTTCGCAGGAGCTTCGAAAATCAACCTCATTAACGGCCCCTGAGCTCCTCCAACGGTCTGCGATCTGCAGGTTGCTGCAGATGCACACGGGGTGATGCGGGTTTCGATGGAAGAACTGCGTATGTGTGCCAACAATTGATCAAGCTGGGTGCTTGGTCAATGCACTGCAGCTCAGTTGACATTGGGGCGCGCGAAATTGACACAAACAAGTTATTTGCGATTCTCTGTTTCTGAGGAACAAGAGTTGAAGACTTGGCTTCACGCAACATCACGCCCATAGGTGCCCCATGGAACTGCGGGCTCTACACCTCATCTTGCGCTGCGGTGGGCAACTGACACCGCTTTGTTCAAAAAGCCGTGCCTCCTCGTCGAACGAAGCTCAGACCAAACTGGATGGTTTTGTCTGGGCCAAACCTCGGCATATTGCAGGTTACCATGCGAAAGGCTGACACGGCTTGTGCTTTCCCCCACCGGGAGCCTTGCGTGGCAAGATCTCTGGAAGCACACGCCCAGTGGTGAATCACCTGGCTGCGTCCACAGGAAATGCAAGAAACCGATCAGGACCCACAGTGTGGCAATCGGAGGGGGAGAGAGGTCACCTTGAACAGCCCAGCATGAAGTAGTAAGTGGTATGATACTATGGTGAATCCCCGTTCCTGGTGGTTGGTGTTGAGAAAGGGAGATGGGTTGCAAACCCACCTCGTGTAGAATTCGAGCTGCAAAAGGCAGTCCATCAGTCCTCGCATCTTTACGTACTACAAGCTCTCGCCCTGTGCTTTCGAAAGCCAGACCTTCCAAAGTCAAACAAGCAGTCCTGCAGTCGAAGATGGTGAAAAAACCCACAGGCATGTTTCCCTGGAACTCTTCGCGGCTTGAGCCCTTCAGCTTTCCATGCGCGAGCCAGCTAATTACGCCGACACACCGTTGGCATAGCAAGCTCAAGGGCAAAGGTCATGAAGCAATGGTCAAGTGCATGCACAATGCATCGTCCTTGCCTCCGGCAGGTGGTGATCTGGGCTGAGCATCAATATCAGGCTTAATCAGGCTTGAATGACGGTGCAGCACGAAAAAAGCATGCTCGCAGCAGCTGTGCATGTCACTGCAGTGGTCCAATCAACAGACGTTGTATGATTTGGCACACAGCGTCTTGCAACCACGAGACCGTTGCGCCTGGACACATACGTTAGTGCCTTCAACGGCGATATACGGATGCTAGTACTGTTTGATTCGGTATTCGAGGATGGCTAAATCCCAGAACGACCACAGCCGCAGCAAATGCTTGCAAGCACAAGCGTGGACCGTTTGGGCAAGCTGCACGTGAGAGCCGGGAGCGCTTCGACTCCTGGCAGATTCTGAGTGGGTCTGACGTCTCACACCTGGCACTCTTTGGCACTCTTTGGCGCTAAGCCGCCATGCTTTCTTGCAACCTTCCTTGTGGTGAAGTCTCCACAAGCCAGTGCTTTTCGACGCTGCCTATCAAACGCAGCATGACAAGACACGGCAAAAATGATGCTGAAGTGATTCCGATAGCAGTCAGACTGCAGTGTTCCCGGCGCTTTCAGAGCACAGCACAAGTGTCTAGCAAAGCATAGCACAGCCATACCTCGTCGCCCAAATCCTGGAATTGCCGAGCTTCCTGGCATGCAACTTTTCGACTTCTTGCTACATCAACTGTAGTGCCGCTTTCCGCGGACGCATGCCGATATATGCCGAGCTTCTCGCGGAGTGAAGCCTGAAGCCTATCATTGACCAAGCATCATGAAATTCCAAGTCCGCTACGCATCAACAAGCACACAACACTGCCTGTTTCGCGCTCATCATCAGTCCTGCACAGACGAACCGGGCATGGGAACTCTCTGCCTGTGCAGCTTCCTGCGCTTCACCCGGAACTGCGGCTGCCCAACAGTTTCACGCTGCTTTCTCTTTCTGCTCCAACCGCAGTCCTCTGACGTCGAGCGTCTTTGGCTTGGCTTGTCCTAGGCGGCAGCTGATGCATGAGGTATCTTCAGCATCGTAAGGTGTATCTAATCATAAACCCGACGAGGCCAGGCCACGCATCCTGAAGCACGTCTTTCTGCTCGTTCCTGACATGACAGGGCTCCTTGTCGATAGAATGGTTGCGCTGACACCCATCCATGCACCCACGTCCATGGTAACACAGGAAGCTGTACATTCTGTTCATCACGGCCTCCTTGATCCTGAGCGCCGGGAGTCTTGGCGGAACTTTGCAAATTTCAGAAGCAGAGTTGCGGACTTAGATTTCAGCGACTTCTTTGGCTCTTTTTCGTCAGAGCGCCTCGAGGACACGCAAAACAGAGGCGGTACTCTTCAATTGTCTTCCAACCTGACCAGTCCATGTTGGTCGATGTGAAGAGTCAAAGCTGAGAGCCAGGGTAACGAGTCGCCTTGCTTAGCTTGCTTAGCTGCCGGCAGACTGGCAGTGGCCGCACGACTGGGTGCCTCCGACGGGCCTTGCTTGAGGAGCACTGTCGGGTACAAGCCACAAGTCTTCACACTTTCAGAGGCTGCTGCCCTTAATGGAGACAGACATGGTGCTCATGGTCAACCCCTGCAAACAGGCGCTCGAGGACGTTTTAAGTAGCGAGCTGCATTTTTGCGACTGGATCTCAGGTGAGCCCTTGACCCGGTTCTTTGGTGCGTAGAGGTATGCGTCGTCAGCTGCCTCCTAGAAGAGCTGCAGCATGTCTCCACCGCCGCTACGGCCGCTAGGATAAGGTCAGGGCGCACAAGCCTCCAACCGACCGCCTCACGCAGCCACACACGGCACGACGGCGCAGCCACGGCGAGGCCATGCTTGGAACTGGGAGGAGCACTCGAGGAGTCGCGGCCGTCGAGCCTTTCAAACAGGGCAGCTAACTCAATACGAACATTGCATTCCTTGCGCTCACTGCACTCTGTATGGGCTTGGCAGCTGACTCCTGAAAGCCACGGTCGATCGAGCTTGAAAGAGGGCTCTCGGACTTCACGGCGATCCATTACCTACCGCATCCTACCGCTTGATTCTTGGACTCCGGGTCATAGCCCAAGCAGAACCTGTCAAAGACACTACTAACCCTGCGCCTTGGGAGTGGATGCTGCCCAGGCAGCTGCTTCGTCTGCTTCCTAGCTCACGATCTTCGACCGACAGCATCTTCTGTGCGCGAGTATGCCGGTGTGCATGCTTGGATCCCCACATCTATTTCATCCAAATCGCCCAGCGGCGGCCCTGAGGCGAGCGCGGCATGTCACAGCTTTGATTTGGTGTCCTCGAGCTCTGTGCAGAGTCATGCAGGCAGTAGGATCCCGGCGTACGCCCGTGGTTTTGAGTGCCGGGAAGCGTTCGAGAGTTGGCGCCAAATTCCTGGCTCGGCGAGAATCACACATCGCTGCAAGAATTTATGCGACCAACCTTCTCCGGGCAACGTCGTTACAAGAGGATCTTGAAGTCAACCAGGCGGCAGGAAATCCGAACTGTGAGGACCTCGGCAAAACTTGCCTCTGGGATCTCTGGGCACGGATCCAGCCCGAGACGTGGTTCTCAACACATGTCGGCTGCCATGACCCCCACACGGCAGATGGCAGCGACAGCGGAGGAGCCCTCATCATTGCACCGTACCCCTTCCTGCCAGGCAACCAAGCACACTCGCTGCGTGTGTGCAGGAACCGCAGCGGGTCCTCCGAAGTCTGCCGAAGGGTTCTCCTTTCAGAAGATCCGTTGCAACCTGGACCTCAAGTTCGTGGTCGAATCGGTGCTTCAGCTCTGCTGCTCCACAAGTCGCAGCATGTCAACAGGGCAACAGCCACAGGAAAACCCTGCAAGCATAAGGTCACGACAGAGTACCTAGGCATACAGTTCGCTGTGCCGTTTTGACATACAAAGGTCCGCCCAGCCCACTTGCCCAACCGAAGCGAGCAGCAGGAGCTTACTAGCATGTCGTCTACAGCCCATTCATTAGGAAAAACTCTACTGACGTGGGTCTGCACAGCATTGGCACACATGCACGCATGCATGCACGTGCAGGATGGCTGGCTGTATAGCTGGCTGGCTGGACGGACCTGCGGATTCATGCATGTCAGTAGGGATGTAGAACTACCGCTGCAAGTAGAACCTCTTTTCCAAAAGAGTGGTCAAAGGCTCAGGACGGGCGAACCCAAGAACAAGCAACATCCTGCAAGAAATGACAGGCGCACTGTCGCTCCTTATGGCGGCCTCGCATGCTAAGCAATGCCCTTCGAAGGTCAAAAGAATGCAAGCGAATATCAGGTCAGAGCAGAACTTCTTCTGCACATTCATCACCGGGAACCATTCGCAAACCTGCAAAGCGGCGCTAAAACTCCAAGTCATCTGAAATCCAACACGTGGTCGGTGCAATCGCATGCACCCGCTCCGTTCTCCTACCCTGCTCTCTCGACTCGCCTTCACTGCTTCTTTGTCATTTTTGTCGCGGGTGCCTGCCGACGCTGCACAAAAGCATGTCCACGTTGCATAGGGACGCAACTAGCCATTGAGTCAGGTTCCCCGCCTGGATCTTTGGAGTCCTTCGAAGGTTGAGATTCCTTAGTTGCAGTTGCCTCCTGAATCTCCGATGCTTCGGCCACATCGAGGAAGCTGGAAAGAACCTCGGCCAAGGGCTGTAGCGGGACTCATGACCCTTGGCCAACGGAATGGAAGAAGGCGAGAATTAGAAGGTTTGCTACGGCCCCCGGATTTGTGGACTGCACCTAGCCCTTTTCTGGCAGTGAGCTGCAGCAAGTCTTTAGAAGCAGTGATGCGTCATTGCAACGCAAGGCTGCTGCTAACGTAAACGAGAAAGCGTCCGGACACTTCGACCGTCAAGTGATATGAGCCATCCAGCCATGTAAATCCCTTCTTAACTTGAATAGGGTCACCAGTCTCAATTGCGGCACATCCGTCCTAGCCCGTTCTGACGCTACTGCATTCCTTCAGATGCCATGCCTCCTCCTTATCCTTCCGTCCAGAATTGCAGCTTTTCACCCTAGTAACCTAGTAGCTAGTAGTCGGCAACCGGGACTGCAATGGGCAATATGCACATGGCCGCAACATGGGCTTGAGGTACGAGACGAAACATGTTGATGGGGACCGCGCCTGTAAGAGGCCGTGCGGTTCTGCCCATTTTGACTGGAGTGTGGCATTGTCACGAAATTTGAGGGAGTGAGTTCTGGGCAATCAACTTTTCACGGGCTGTTCTTTCGGCGGAATGGAAATTCGATTGTGTAGATTTGGACGGGAATCCATGTTTTCCGGGCGCAGTGCATCTTGGCCACGAGCAACGCATAACTCGAATACTAAAGGCTTCGATGATTGAGCCTCGTGAAGTGGTTAAAACCGTTTACTTATCCCCGGTTAAATCCTTCGAAACCGGATCAGTTAATTGTGACCATCGTGTGATCAGTGTTTTAGGGTGGGCTGCACTGCTTCGTGGTCTTGGGGATTTTAGGCTACGATGGCTTTCGGCTTGAGGCGTTCTCGGGTCTGTAGACTGCAGGATTCATGGCCAGAGCCTCTTTGGGTCGTTGGGCATGCTTTCCTCATATTTCTGACCTTGAAACATCTCGAAATTTAAACAAGAAAACCAGCAGCCCCCTCCCCTCCCCAACAAAAAGCACGCTTAAACGCAATAGGAAAGAGAGCACATTCTCCGACAAAATTGCGAGATCCCTCGCTGCTTTCGGCCTCTATCAACTACACTTTCAAACATTGTCTGTGTGTGTGTGTGTGTTTTGTCCTGGGCTTCGCCCTTTCGAGGCTTCATACCTTCTCTGTGAAATGTGTCTAAATGCACGGCCTCTTACAGGCGCCGCCATGCTGCAGAGACGACTGTTCATGACAACACTTGACACTGTTGATTTTTAGCACTGTGGTGCGTGCCCCATGATTCTGAAGTCTGCTTGCTGGCCTCTGTGAAGAGGATGGACTGGTGTTCATTCAGCAGCTCGTCTCCATGATCGCCTGGATTTGTAACGCGGATCACAGCAGGTCCGTGTCATGTAAGCTCAGAGAATCAAGCATTCAAAACGAAGGTTGGCCTTCTGAAGTGCTTGGAGCCATACAGTGGCAAGGACGAGTGCAGGGCAAGCTGCATCAGGTTGTCACAGGCTGGCGTGTGCTCAGAGGATGCAAACAGCAAACGGAGAGAAAGGTTGCTGGCGGGCTGAATGTTCGACACCACGTCGTGGATATTGTGGGCAGTTGAGATATGGTGGGATACATGGGTCGTGGTTGCTGCGAGCAGAGATCCACCGATCGTGCAGTCTCGCATCGCGGCTTGTGCAGTGTTGCGACAACGACAAGCAACCAGGTCCCCCTTATGCACATCGACGAAAGCACTATCTCGTTCAAGTAACAATGAAAGCCAAGTCTGTACGCATGCACTCTGGCTCGAGAGTTGACATGGCACCAGACTCCAATCTTCAAAACGCAACGCATGCCACCGCATGTCCGAGCAAGCATCTTACGATGCCAACACAACGTGCCTGACGATGGTGAGTCTTCTGCACTGTACATGGGCATCGCGAATCGCACTGCTCCCTTGTGGATAACTGTACCAAGACGCCCAATTGTCGAATTAACTTGACACGAGATTTTGAAAACCCGGCGGCATAGGTATCATTCAAACCTTTGCAGGGCCACTTTGCGTCTGAGCAGAGCTCATCGTTCGCCCCGGTAGGACGAAGTATGGATCCGGCCTTCGAAAGTATGGAAGCAGACGCACCAACACTTGACACCCCAAACTTGTGACTCTTGGCGGGAGCGCAAGTTGACAAATGTCACGTGTAATAAAGAGCGACACGTCTGGGCTAGGTCCGGTCACAAGGTCGGAGATCTGATCTCAGACGATGTTCAGCAAGACCGAATGCACATCAAGAAACAGATCTGACTTTTGTTATGCTGACTTGTCGTTTTGCAAAGTCCGGGCTGGTGCCTGATATGTGCGAGTTGCAGACTTCCTTTTCCAGTGGACTGAAGCCAGATGCTGGTGAGGAATGTCACCAGCGATACAAGGCCGGCACAGGACATCAGCCACCCAGGTCCTGCACAATTGACAAGCAGGTCCGAATACAGGGTCCGTCGAGACTTGGTAGCAGAGCACGCACACGAAGGCGCTGCCCTTTATTCGAGGTTGAAAAACCACTCTCTACCAGCTGAAGCAAACCATGCTTCATAACAGCTGGCATCTGCGATGCTGCACCCGAAACTCAATACTAAATGCATGTGCATCCGGTCCCCACGAGGTCCAAGAAAGCGATGCCTGTCAACAGACGTGAGATACCAACGGGCGAATGACAGGCGAAGTTAAAGCCGACATCTCAGACCCAGCCTGCAAAAGAGTCGGAGCAAAGCCTCCGTGCAGTTTGCTCAAGTCTTGGCGGCGTGCAACAACCAATGACATGTCGAACAACGTCGACACTTGAGAAAGGCCTCCAAAGACGCATAAGCCAATGTTGTAACCTTGGCTGTGTTGGTTGAATACAGCACGAAGCCCTACAGCGTCGCATCTCTTCGCCATGAAAAATAAGTGCAGGTCGAAGCGCTCAAGCCCACGCCCGCATTCCGCACCTCAACCGGGAACAGCTCCACGACGAGAAGGAAGACGATCATCCCCGTCAGAGCAAAAATGATTGCATATCCTACTCCATAAGCTGCCATCACTACCCCGAAGCTCTCGGGCATCCACTTTTGCACGAGGAAGAGTGGCAATCCACCCAAGGTCAGAGCAAATGTGCCAGCAAGCTGAATCCAACCGACTCCAACTGTGTCAGCAAGCCACCCCACCAAAGGCGCAAGAACTACTGCCAGCATGCGTGCTGTGATTCCGGCTGCTATTAAGTGGTCAGGCGTCGCACCATGTTTTTTCAGAAAAACATTGCCCCAAAGGAACCCACCATACTGTAAGACGGATCCTCCAGCCACACTGCCGATTCCAATTAGTAGCGACGGCCACTGTGACTTCACCAGGTGCTTGATGCGGGCGACCGCCTGGCTTGCTGCGCCTGGGGAGATCGAAAGCTAGCCGCAAAAGGCTCATGTTGTATGCTTTTCCTTTCGACGCTCTGGCCTCGCGAGCCTGCCGAGTCGCCCGAGTTGGCATCAGCAGACTCGGAACCGCCGTCGGACACGTCCGATGTCGCTCCTGTCTGAGTCTTGGCATCGAGGAAGACCTGCGATTCTGGAATGCAGCGTCTCCCAGCAGTTGCCTCACACAACAGAAACGGCCATGTATGGAAAGGGCTTCATGGATGCACGGCTGTGCGTTTTGTAAACTCCAGGTCCAGGAGTCCAGGTTATGTTCGCTGATCTAAACACCTTCATCCCGGAATGGCCTTCTTCATGGAATAAGCTCAAAACTTGTCGCAAAACCATGACGGCACCGTCGCCGTGGCATGTTTTCGTAACTCTGTGAGTTAAAGAACCCCATATCCCAAACTATGAAGAACTCTCAATGGCTTTCTGGAAAGCTTGAATGTCCAAAAGGCCTTGTGAAACAAGCTGGTCTCGAACCGTTAGTCTGAGTTGACGAATAAAGATTGAAGAAAAGCCGGAAACACATGCAGCGAGGCTATCTAATGAAATGCAGTCTAGTGGACAATCACACCTGGGATCACAGCAATGACAAAGGGTATCCGCCAAGCCCAGCTTTCCATAGCGGACGCGCCAACGGCCTCGCGTGTCAGATAGCTGGCACATTGAGCGAGCAAAAAGCCGATGTTGGCTGTGATGCCGATCAATGCCGTTGACCTTGCCAGCGATCTCTTCGGACCAACTTCGGTGATGTAAGTCGAGACAGCTGCAATCTCCCCTCCGGTGCAAATGCCTTGCAGAAGTCGCAGCGCCACCAGCAGAACCAGGCCGATGGTCCCTGCGACTTCGCCACTCTGGTAGCTGGGCACTAATCCTTCAAGGGCAACCGGCATGTACAGCTAAACGAATTCTTGGACTTACTGCATGCTCCTCGTGCTCAGACATGCTCAGACTCAAACCAGAGAGTCTCCCGTCCTTGGCCGACTGTGCCAATGAGCATTCCGCAAATGGAAAGGAACGTTGAGACCTTCCGACCAAAGATGTCGCCGAGAAGACCAAGAACGATTCCACCAAATGGACGAGCTACAAACGTACAAGCAAATCCGAGCCAGGTCGAAATCGCCGAGCCGTTGAAGAACTGAGCTTCCAAGTAAGGCTCCACGAAGCTGAAGATGGCAAACTCATACCATTCCAGAACGTTTCCTAGCAGCAGCGCCCAGTAGATCTTAACAACTTGCCCAACATCTGCGGCGCTGCCCATGGCTACGTCTAGGGTAATTCAGACCTACACGGATGCTCCGGATGCTGGCAGGGTTTTGACGGTGACGAGCCACGAGATCTCAACCTGCGGCTTTACCGCTGCATGGCAGGCGCTAATTAACAAGAACTAAAGAGGACGTTTCATCTGCATAATGAGCACCAGCAAACTGGCTGTACAAACATCCAGCGCAGGTCAGTCTAAAGGTGCCACTGGAAGACCTGTTCCTCAGTCCCAAACAAGCTGTGTCATACGCTGCAGCCCGGAGGACTTATATGGAACAAGGACCGGGTATCAAGGAGCAGGCCAGGTTGCACATCCTCAAGCACATCGACACCATAAGTCGCGATGCCTCAACATGAAAAATGCATGTGTTGCAGCGCAGTGCTCCGTTCGAGCCTGCGCTTCTGCATTCCGCCAAGACTTCCGACCCAAATGATGACTCCTGGATGCAGTTACAAGCGAAGCTGAGCACTTTTGGCAGATTGCCTGTAGATGCCGCTCAGCATGCTCAGAATATGCCAAGCTTCGTCGGGGTGTAATGCCAGGCCACGCACGCCTAGCCTGCGGACTCGAGGCAGCGTACGACTCCTTTAGATCCGTGAAAACTCCCTTGAAATGAGGGGCTCAGCCTGACGACATCGTTCAAAGCGGCAAGAACCGCGCTGGAATCCTCGAAACAAGCACAAAATGCATGGCAGCATGCAGCGAAGAGGTAGGGTGTGAAATTTAGTTGTGTTTTGCCTTTTTTTTGTTGTTGGCCTTGGGGGGGTTGGGGTGCAGGGGGCGGGGGGGGGGGGCTGCGGGGAGCTCGGGGG